AGTTGCAATGACAAAAGGGGTATCTTTTCTGACAGTAAAAAATGACACTGTGGATAAAATCTGCAAAATATGCAATGAAAAAAATAAATTTGCATTAAAAAGGTTTACACTGTTTTTTTTATACAAACATTAGAAACAGTATTGCACATCACAACACAGAATCGAGGTTAGTCAGCCTTCCAAAATGTGTTATATTCAAGTTTTGTAGCATCTTTGAGGAGAGGCTCTGTGCAGCCAGATGCAACAGGGATAAAATATCAAGTGTTTTCCATACACAAATATATAAATGCTAAATGTTTCCTTCTTAACAAAAAGTGTGGATTTTTAAAGTATTTTTTTTCCTCCACAGTCATACTTTTGGGCAGCAATATGAATATTTAGGGAACACAAGTCAAGAAGCTTTTAAAATACAAAAATACAATCAAAATTAATAATTTTCTACAAAAATAGTAAAATAAATATGATCTGTAAATTAAAAAAAAAAAAACTCCAATACAGTGTTTAACAGAAAATAAGAATGTAGTACATAAAAGGCAAAAAAAAAAAAAATGGTGAGATGGGAAAGGAACAAGACATCAGACTAATAAGCTTTAGTTGTAACAGAAATGAAGGTAAAACCACCATACATTTCTGTTATATTTACCCGTGGCAAAAAGGGTGTTTGTTCTATTACATTCCCCTTCATTCCAAATATTTATTTCTGTTTAAGAAGGGAAAATGATTTTCAACATCTCCAATTATTTTCATTATATAATTTGTTTTCATTATTTAATACATGAAAAGGCTCAATTTTAAACATTAAGCAGAAATTATGAAAATAAAGTTTAAAAATCTGCGAAATTAAATATCTAAATAATTAACATTGCAAAACTACTGATTTCTTCTCTAAATTCCAAAAATTGAGGTATAGCAAAGGAGATGTCATCAGTCAAAAAAAGTGTGCCATAAAATAGCTGACTGTTGGAAAAATCTCTCACAGAGATATAAAAATAGTGCATAACAAATGTCAAAATGGATCAAGGTTTGGCAGGGTTAAGGTTAGAAAAGAATACTCCAAAAAATCTGGAGGATCATGGTTAAGTAACAAATAGGGAACATTGACAAATAAATTAGTAAAAAGCTCTTCTGAAAACAGCATCAACTTTAAACATTAAAAACTTGAACCACAACCACAATAAAACAGCAGAGTTAGACATGAACCACATTTTTACAGTACAAAAAAGCACACCACAGACAACCAATATTAAGATCAACACTTTGCTCACATGAAGGATTGTCCCAAGGGTTTGCTATAAGGCAATACCCTTGTAATTTTCTCTCTTTAGAGTCAAAAATCTTAGTTCTGCATTTTTAAAAAACATTTACCATTGTTGGGTGCTTTGCTTAGATTGCAGAGTAACTCTTACATTAAAATACAGGGGCTAGTTGCATTAAAAATGCTCTAAAGAGAAAAAATATCACTAATGATATTCTAATAGTGTTCAGTACCAAGAGAAACTCACTAACTATTGCATGTTTCCATGCCACTTTCTCAAAAAAAAAAAAAAAACCCCAAAAAACCTGCAAGCAAAGTCATTACCAAAATTCCTTCATCAAAATTTTTAAAAACGTAATTCTTAACCATTAAGAACAATGTTCCATGCAACAGTGACCCCAGTTTAGACAGAAGACCCCAATATATATAGGTTAAACACATAAGCAAGTTCAAGCCAGATTTCACCATTGTCTCATAAAGGTAAAATTTAATTTTATGCAACTAGCCATCTGTATATTTCCCCTTCTCCATTTTGACTTTACTTAGGTTTACTAAAGTTTTGCATTCTTCTATAAAATTCAGATTTTTAAATATGGGTTTCTTATGGGTCTCACACTAGGTGACTGGTTAGCAGTGTGCTGGCCATCTTTGGTTTACAAAGCATGTCTTAACCATGGACTATCAAAGGGGCTAAACTCAACTTTCTTTAGAATTCTTGTATTTTCTTTTACTCATTCTTTTATCTATACTATATCACTGCACATGAATTAGAACCGCACGTCACAAAATTGCACAGGGATTACAAATATTACATCCAGTCTGCATAAAATCGAATTCCACTACTGACCAGATCACAAAATGGCTGCACTCTCTAATCTAAAACTAATTTGCATATTGTACACATGTAAGACGATTTTTTAAACTTGAAGTCACAATAATGCATGCAATTTGCTTTTTTTAAACAAATTTTATAATTTGTTCATGCTACCTAGATTTAAGAGAGCTTTTTTGAACAGTTGCAATACCTCACCTCGTTAGTTAATAATTCTAGTGCATGCATATGGTGTATACAGGTAAGTAAACATGCATTTTTTTTCACATTCTAAAACTATGGCAGTTTAGGCCATATTGTGCTGCCTGCATTTTATCTGCAATGCAGTGTGTCTCTAACATTTTCAGTCCCGTATTAATAGGTGGCATTTACACATAACACCTATATAGCAGCAAAGCTAATACAGCTTGTGATTAAAAATGTTTAAAAATAGCTAATAAATCAGATTATCTTGAGGTATTATTTCTTGCAAGTCAAAATGGAGAGCAAAAAAATCAACCCTAATTTTTAGTTTATGTATACACTGAAAATAGCAACAATAAAAATAAGCATTTGTAGCAGACATATTCCATCTTCACTATTATTTTTGCTACCTTTGGTAAATTACTGGGGCAGATCTTGAAGTTAAAAACCCATGTTTAGAAATAAGTGCACGCTTCCCCCACTATATAGCAGCAGACTGTGTTGCCCCTACGCAAAACATTCTCATATCTAATTTTAACTTTACATATAAAAATAACTTGGAGAAAATACAAAAAAACATTTTATTTTAACATGAAAATATCACAAAAATTAGTAAGCCTGAGATGTAGGGTTTTGGTGAAAAACAAGAGGCTTGTAGTGTTTTGGCTGCTGATAAAGATGCATGTATTGATAGCTGGGGTGAAAAGCAGAAGAATGCACTTATTTCTTCTGCATGTCAGTATCTTCAGACACAGTAAGCCACATGCACCCTTTCTTTTCTTGTTAAACAGAGGCCAGTTTGCTATTCTTAGTTCCAGCGGAAGTGGATCTGACGTGGGCGATCAGCACCTTCCTTTACCAATGGCTTATGGAACTCACGTCCAGCACGAGAGTGGATATTTGCCCAACAGAACTCACAGTAATACTGCAGGCAAGTGACATTGGCACAAAAAAAGGGAGCAAATTTTCCACCACAGCGTGCGCCCTGGCATTCATCACACATCTGGTCATCTAGCACATATGGCTTTACCTCCACCTTGAAAAAACAGAAAAGAAGTCTCGTTAGGGTCTGCTTCAGAAATCAAATTCGCTAATAACTTAAATTGTTTCTATAAAAGAAAAAAAGAACCAGCATTAAAAGGTGAGGAAATGGGCAAGTTTCTCAAAGAAGGAGTAGGTTTGAGAAACTACTCCTTTACCATGTAGTAGGTTAAAATACTTTAAAAATCTACAAAAATCTGATATTTGCAGAACATTCCATGCTCACCTTTCTTGAATATTATCTTTGAAAAAACCTGTGTGCTGGTATTTTCAGAGTTGGAGGGGTTTGTGAGTGAAAAACAAAGGAGATATCAAGTAGTCATGGAAGAGTTTCCACACCCTTTTTTCCCTCACTCCAGTATCACCTGTGAGGTGGCAGAACCCAAACAGCCACAGATTAAGGCAGCGCTTCTCCACTGCAGGTGAAAGTCACACTCTGCTTGGAAATAACTGGCACAGACAAGCCAGGCTGTGGAGAATCTTACAAGGAGCATGCCTAGACTTCTGCAAATTTGTAAGACATAAAGTACTAGTCCTGTTGTGAAGGTCTGATTTGGCAGAACACTTCAGACTGGAGTCAGCTCCGAATGATAAACTTTTCTACCTCAGTTTTCACATCTGCCAAGTGAGAATAACAGATTCTGTCTCAGAGTTGTGAAGCTTAAACTGTGAATGTAAAAGCATAAGACAGTGCTTAGCACATGGTAAAATAGTGTATAAATTAGTATTACCTACAATTAACTGCAACAGCCTTGCTTTCCTGCTTGCGATAACTTTATGAATGGAAGGTTTTTTCCTTTGTTTGGCTGAAAAGTGTCAGATAGCCTAACAGCTCAGCTGTTCCTTACCAGGTAGTCTAACAGCTCAGCCATTCCTTAGGAGATGATAGAACACTGAGTGTTCGAAGGACTGGATTGAGATAAAGTAAAGGTTGCCCATAGTAAAAAATAATGACCCAACAATTTGTATTCTGAATGTATTCTATTGAAATACTTGCACGAGTGCAGAAAATGAATATAAAAGTATTTTCTGCAATGTTATTTGTAAGAACAACAACAAACTAGAAACAACCTAAAAGTTGACTAAAAGAACTGTAGCATGTTCATTTAATAGATAGATAATAGAATTACATTGTTGTTTATATTTCACTGATTATGATTAATATATTTTATGCATATTAGACACTTAGCTTTTCTGAATTGCTTGTTTGTATTTTTTGTATGTTTTGTTGTTGGAGTGTTTTTTGTTTTTTAAAATTAATTTATGAGTTCTCTTTGCCAGTTAAGAATTTTTAACCTTTTTTCCAGGGGTTTTACAATCTTTGACACAAACTATTAAAATTTTTATGCTTGATCTTTATCTCTTAATTTTTTCCTTTATGGGTTCTATCTTTTATTTGCCAAGCTGCTATTTTTGATTTATTATCTTCATTACAATTATAGTTATAATTAAAAAATTATTATGACCCAAGAATAAATCAATGTGGCATGAGAGTTACTGGATTTCATCTCACTGAATTATAAACTCCATGAACACAAGGACAGCACCCATTTGCTAAATGTTCAGTTCCCAGTGCCTAGAAGAATATCTAACACGAAGTAGAAATGCTATAAATACACGAGTGAATGCAATACATTTACATATGTTTTCCGGGTTTCTTTCTCATGGTTATTTCTTGTTTTTTTTTCCCCCCATAAGATTTAGCCTAATTGAAACCAGGGTCTGTGATGTCGACTTCACTTCCACAATACCTGATAAAATGCCAGATTTTCAGGAGTTAAGTCTTTTAATAAAAAACTGTTGAACAAAAATTTTACAAATGCAATGATTTCAATTATATGTATTTTTTAAATTCTAGGTATTAGTTTATGAAGCTAGGCTACTCAACTCAAAACCATACACTGTAAAGATGGAAAATTGAATTTCAAAACCTATTTTTGATTAATAATCTCTAATAATTAAACTCTTCTATACGTGAAAGGAGTTTCATGGACACTTCACCTAGTCTTGTATTTTAACTTTTACTAGAAGTCACAGTGAATTATACTACTCGTGAAATAACATACAAAAAATATAATGAATTACACATCTGTGTTGATTGTGCTTTCCAGCTATCAGATAGAACTAAACCACAGTATCCATCGGTGTAAACAGTAAGTGGAATAAACAATTTTGATTTCCTCCAAATAAGTATCTTATATATCCTTGAGTTGGTACTTACACACTTAAATTTATTCAATTTTTATGGCTTAATAGCCATATTCATATTAGAGAGATGAAAGGTATAAAGGTTAATGGTTTAATATTTTTTTGTGTAAGCAATATTAGTGACTTGTAAAATACTTAAGGCTCAAATTCTTTCAAATACAGTTCAAAATTACCTTTGTAGTACGTATCTTAGAAAATAAGCTTTTCCCTAAGGTATTTCAATGCCTTTTCAAGAAGGCATGTGTATCTTAATTCATCTGCCCTGCAACTTAGTTGCTCTTGAAGAGTCAATACTCTGCTCCGAGTAACTGGTCCTTCACTACCATTTTGGAAACAAAGAGGTATGAGGTATGACACTGCAACAGTCTTTTTCTTCTGCTAGTGCACTAAACACCCTGATTATATGCTATGTAAATAACATCCTCTGTGACCTTACCTCTCTGTAAAAGTAGAGGATTAAGCTAGATCAGCAGTCTAAAGCACTGCTGTACATTTGTGTCACTTTCAGAGCTTTATAAACTCCTGTTGTTCAGGCTGCCTCTCAGACCAATTCGGCAGAACCTCATGGGGTAGGACCCAAATATCAAGATTTTTCTACGTTTCCAGATTAATAATGTACAGCACAGGTTGAGAACACAAGACTAGAGGAACTCTTAACATTTAGACAAGTTCAGAAAGGTTATCTATGCATGTCTTATCAAAAGCAGAGAACCTCATCTTAAGTTTATTTGGCAACCAGAATTTTAAGTAGCAATGCAAACAAAAAAAAGCCACTCTGCATTTGTGAACTGAACCTATGCTGCATTTCTTTTCTAATGGGATGGCTGGGTAACTACATTGAGGACTACTTCTAGCATGCATGGTCTAGTCAACTGGTATTGGTTAACCAGCTTCCCTGTCCCCAAAATAGTCTTTTAATGTGCCAAACAGCCCCAGAAGAGGATTCAAGCAACTGTTACATTGGGAAAAGGGGTACTCACTCAAATTATATCTTCTATCTACTAATTTGGATATAAAAAATTCATTTACCCCATATTCTTAGTGTATTTCTGCTGAACTATAAATATAATTATTTTAGAATATGCTTAGGTATGTATAGGAATTGTTCACAGATTTTGGCATAAAACAGATTTGTAAATAAATGCTAGAGTCTTTCCCTACTCTAGAAGGTAGTCACTACTTGGAATTATTCAATAGGGTTTCAGTTATCATTCCTAGTACTTAAAAGTTCTTACTGTGATGATTCAGGCAATGCTACTCAAAAAAAATATTTAAGTGTAGGTCAATTATTTTAGAGAAATATACGTGATGCATTTTTATTTTAGACTTTGTGACAAATGAAAACAAACATTTAAATAACATTCTGTGTCAAGTTTTATTCTAAATGTTTGTTTACATGTGAATTCATTTAGTCCTCAAAACTGAGAAAGACATATTATCATTGTTTTCCATTTTACAAGCGAGGAAAAAGGCACAGAGAAGGTAAATTTGTAGAAATGGGATTCAATCCTAGGCAGTCTGACTCCAAAGTACAGGCTCTGAAAACAACCTCTGCCTCCATGGTTAGAATATTTGACCTTACTGGCTGATAAAATTTTTTTGACATGGCTGTACGATGACATTAATATTTTTTATATTATACCTAAATTTTAAAGTGTGTTCAGGAATTTTACATTTCAAGGATATTTTTATATAATATCCTTTAAGACTTAAAGAAGTTAAAAACTAAACAGTATTTCAATTATATTACTACTTAAAGAAGTTAAAAACTAAACAGTATTTCAATTATATTACTAACTCTTTAGTGTATGACACTTTGGATCAGCACGTTATTATAGGACATAAGTGATTTCCCAACATGCAACTTACACGTTTATCAATATCACCGTGCTGAAGCTGAACAAACCGAGCACTAATGGCAGCAATATAGCTCTGCTGATTGGAGAAAGCAACTCGCCCAGCACCTTTTGGGTATTTTAGCTCAGGATCTGTATCAATTCCTGCATAACAAACTCCACCATATAGCCGGTCCATGATCATAGCAAGTTCCACTTCAAGAGGAAAAGAAGTTTATGTCAAATGTGAGAAAACACAGTAATCAACAATTTTTAAGTACTTTTTGGAAAACATAGAAGTCAATTGTGTATTATCATTTGACCAGGAGTAGAATGGCAGATTAAGAGGCTGTTGTTAAAGGAGGACTGGGATCAAGGATGCTATAAAGTGACTCACTGCCATCACATCTTCCTACTTACTAGCACTAAACCCACTAAACACCCTATCTTGTCCTATAGAGAAATAGTTCCACACTCTTTCCTAAATCCAATGCTTTTACTTGCATGCTAGATCCCATCCACTCTCAACTAAGAAGAGCTACTGCTTCAGCAATTCTCCCCTTTCCCTTATGTACCACCAGTTTTCCCCTTATACAAGATCATTCCCAAGTACACTATAATTTTCCTATCTTAAAAAAAATTCTCATAACATTTTTTCCCCTCTCAGTTACTACTCCATTTCTCTGTTCCCCTTTACAACCAAAATTTTCAAAATCTGTTCCAGTATTCCCCAATTCCTCTCCTCCCATTCTTTATTCAACTCTTTCTAATCAGACTATCACACTATGACTCCACTGTAATTGTTCATGCCAAGTCCAATGGTCAGTCTATCTGTAAGTAGCACCGAATACAGTTAATCCCTTCCTTCTCATTCAAATATTTTCTCCATCTGGACTCTGGAATATATTAGCCCACCAATTCTGCTCCTACCTCACTGATAAATTTCTTCTGAGTTTTCCTTGATAGTTCATCCTAAATTCCTTAACTTTTTGATGTCAGAGTACCCTAAGTTTCAATCCTTGCAACACTGTCTACACTCCCGGCTTTGGTAACTTCATCCTGTATCATAGCTTTAAACACCATCTATATGTTTTTAAGCTCCTACATTTGTGTCTAGTATGGACATCTCCCCTGGACTCCAGACTCATATATGCAACTGTCTACTGGACAACTCAATATTTAACAGGCACTGGCCACGCTCAGTATGTTAAAAATGGAACTCATAATCTTCCTCTATCCCATTAAACTTGCTCCAATGAGTTTTTGCTGACCCAGTTAGAAAGGAACAGAAAAGATGAAGTTGTCAAGTCAAGATCTTTGGCTTCATCTTTTCTGTATTCTTCTCTTGCTCCCTCCCACACATACAATCATGTGAACTTGATTTTCAAGACCTATCTAGAGTCCAATCTCCTCACCTCCATCATTAACATCCTGATTCAAGCTAACATCATTTTTCATCTTGTTCATGGCAATAACCTTATCTTTTTGCTTTTGACCCTTGCCTTCTCAGCTTGTTTTTAAAACAGTATGATTCTCTTAAAAAATATATCGGATACCACCATAAAAAATGTAACAAAAATATATCATATATCATGGTTTAATTGAAATTTCTATTTGAGAGCTCTGAATGGTGCCATAAACTTAAGTTCAAAATCAAGACCACAATCTTCCCTCCCAATCTAATCTGTTCCTCCTCCAGTATTCCTTCCCTCTCAGTAAAAGGTATCGCTATCCACCCAGTGGCTTATGACTGAAAGATGAGATTCAGTCTTTGTGTTTACCTAATACCTGTTACCTCTGTTCACCTGGCTTTCTCCATTGCTACCAGTAATCCAAGCCACCACTGTCTAATTTCCTGGACTGTAAGAATAGAATCCTAAACTGGTCTGCCCGAATTTACTCTCACCCTGCACCCACCTCTGTAACTCATTAGCTAAAGTGAACTTTGAAAACTGAAAATATGATCATGTCTCTCTTTTGCTTAAAAACTCGTCAATGGTTTACCCATGCTCTAAGGATAAATACCATGTTAGCCTATTAGACTTGTATGATCTGACTCCTGTCTACTTTTGCAATGCCTCCTTGTGTCCCTTCCGTCACTCCTTGTATCCCAAGTTAGCCACTTTGGGCTTCTTTCAGTCCCTCCAAAGCACACTGTTTCCCTCCACTCAAGACCTCTAGATAAGTTGTTCCCTTTCTGTGAAACACACTCCTCAGAACCCTACTACCACCCTGATCCTCCCCCTTTTGCTCAATCCTTTACATGTCAGTTCAACTACAAATATCTTTAAGATATCAGACTATATAATATTTCCTTGCTACACGCTCTTCCATTCCCTACAGTACTTCTCTGTAAAAGTCATCATGTTCTTTAAGTATTTACATGTATTAATAGTTCTTTAACGTATCTCTAAGACTGGGGAGAAGATGTTCTCAGTGATGGAAATCACTAACACTCTACACATGGTGTACAGTATCATATAACATGTGCAAAGTGGGCATATACATCTACAATTATATTCCTATGTGACATATTTTGGTTGGTTTCTAGTTCCCAGTTGTTGATAAACAGAAGTTTATCATCATTCACTTATCTAAAGTGCTATTTCAGTTAATGACTAAAATACTGATAAAGAGAAAATAATCCCATATTTCTTCTTCAGATATCAGAATCAATCAAATAAACAGACTCCAAATTTTCATATCGTAAGAGAGGTTCACTTAGGAAATCAGAAGTATTTAGGTGAATTATTATAGTTTGCTTGGAGTTAGCAACTACACTAATATTGATAGATAAGTATCCAATTCTGCAGTTGGAGAGTTTCAAGAAAGGGGTCTCAGAATATGTTTCAAAATTTTATAGTTAGCAACTATTGGAGCATGAAGAATCTGCTCCTGTTCTGTCCAATAGTGTCACGTACACAATGGCTTCCAAATGTTTATTGACTAGGACATATTTAAATTATTTTTTGAACAAAATTATTAACATTCCACTTACCAGCCCTTAATGGCCGAGGAACACCTCCAACAAAAATTGTTTTTCGGGGATCCAAAGGCTGAGAACCATCCATTACAAAATCACTATCACTTAAATTCCAAGGACGTATTTGAACCTATGAAGAAAATTACATTGGGTCTTATTCCCTTGATGGCTTATGAGGGTTGTTTGTTTTTGCCAGTTAATAGTTATTCTTTTATTGTTTAAAAATTTGTATAGTAGAATTTGGAAACAAATTATCCTCATAACTTTTGATATGGATACTTTAAGTCAGCAGTCCCCAACCTTTATGGCACCAGGGACCAATTCTGAGGAAGACAATTTTTCCAAAGATTGAGGGGGTAGGGGATGGTTTTGAGATGAAAGTGTTCCACCTCGGATCATCAGGCATTAGATTTTCATAAAGAACATGTAACCTAGATCACTTGTATGTGCAGTTGACAACAGGGTTCACATTCCTATTACAATCTAATGTCACCTCTGATCTGACAGGAGGTGGAGCTCAGGCAGTACTGCTGGCTTGCCTGCCACTCATCTCCTGCTGTGCAGCCTGGTTCCCAATAGGTCATGGACCAATACTGGTCCACCACCCAGGGTTGGGGACTCCTGCTATAAATTATCTGGATGTTTCAAAAACTAAAACTCGGCATGGTAGTTTACTTGTTATTTTATTCATTAACAATCATTTCAAAATAATTTTGAAAAATTAGCATTTGTATCCTGAAGTTCATGTGGTATTTACTTACTGGTTTGTCCTTGATGGTAGGGCTAGAAACACACAGATAGAGCTTTCCATCTTCTTCAATACAAGCATCAATTAGTGCTTGAACTGAGCTCTCTTCTTGAAAGAGAAGAAACGCATAGCCTGGAATAACCAATAAAGATGAGGCAATATGTCAACCTAAGTGATTTTACTCCAAATTACAGTGCTATTTAGAAAATACATGCTTTTTAAAAAATATATATATTTTATTTCATTTTAGGTCCTGGGGTACATGTGCAGAACATGCAGGATTGTTAGATAGGTACATACATGGCAATGTGGTTTGCTGCCTTCATCCCCCTTCACCTATATCTGGCATTTCTCTCCATGTTATCCTTCCCCAACCTCCCTACCTCCTGCTGTCCCTCCTCTACTCCCCCGCAACAGATCCCAGTATGTGATGCTCTCCTCCCTGTGTCCCTGTGTTCTCATTGTTCAACACCTGCCTATGAGTAAGAATATGCAGTGTTTGATTTTCTGTTCTTCTGTCAGTTTGCTGAGAATGATGGTTTCCAGATTCATCCATGTCCCTACAAAGAACACAAACTCATCATTTGTTATGGCTGCATAGTATTTCATGGTCTATATGTGCCACATTTTCATTGTCCAGTCTAACATTGATGGGCATTCGAGTTGGTTCCAGTTCTTTGCTATTGCAAACGGTGCCGCAATGAACATATGTGTGCATATGTCTTTATAATAGAACAATCTGTAGCCCTTTGGATACATATCCAGTAATGGGATTGCTGGGTCAAATGGAATTTCTATTTCTAGGTCCTTGAGGAATTGCCACACTTTGTCTTCCACAATGGCTGAACTAATTTACACTCCCACCAACAGTGTAAAAGTGTTCCTATTACTCCACATCCTCTCCATCATCTGTTGTCTCCAGATTTTTTAATGTCGCCATTCTAACTGGCATGAGATGGTATCTCAACGTGGTTTTGGTTTGCATTTCTCCAATGACCAGTTATGATGAGTATTTTTTCATGTTTGTTGGCCTCATATATGTCTTCTGAAGTGTCTGTTCATGTCCTTTGCCCACTTTCAAATGCTTTTTTTTTTTTTTTCTTGTAAATCTGTTTTAGTTCTTTGTAGAGTTCTGGATATTAGCTCTTTGTCAGATGGGTAGATTCCCAGATGGATTAAAGACTTAAACATAAGACCTAACACCATAAAAACCCTAGAAGAAAGCCTAGGCAAAACCATTCAGGACATAGGCATAGGCAAGGACTTCATCACTGAAAC